TCCTGTACGTTCAAGGGTAAGTCCATTAAGAAACTGCACAGGGGCGCCTGGGTGGCTCAGCCGTTAAGCGTCTGCCTTCAGCTCAGGTCATGATCCCAGGGTCCTGGGATCGAGTCCCACATCGGGATCCCTGCTCCGCGGGAAGCCTGCTTCTCCCTCTCCCACTCCCCCTGCTTGTGTTCCCTCTCTCGCTGTGTCTCTCTCTGTTAAATAAATAAATAAAACCTTTAAAAAAAAAGAAACTGCACAGAAGAAATGTGGACTGCATTTCAGTATGCCTTAAGGTAAAACGTTTTTAGATGCTAACCTATTAGATTCTGTCTCCTAGATGAAAATCAGGAGATAACCTGGGTCATCTGGCAGAGCCTATACATTACTTGGTATAGGCAGGGTTGTTCTAAACCTCTCTGGAAACGAGAGAGAGTATGTTCTACAGGTACCTAAAAATAAAAAGCAAACAGTGAGCTGCCCCTTGCCTAAAGAAGTTCACACTTCCCTTCTGAACTGGAATTTTAAGTGTCTCGATGTGCGGGGCGGGCAGGATAGAGGCAGGAATTCACAAACAAAATTTTTAAAAATAAACTTAAAAAAAGGAACCTACTTTCTCCTTCCTTTCCCCACCGAAAGGATATTTTTGCCTCTTGTGACTTGTAACGTCCAAGACTCAGTATCCCTTTCACGTCTAGGCATCAGGTAGGCTGACCATTCAGAATTTCTGAAGGATGAGTATGTGAGGTGTTGGACGGGGTGATTAACTAGATGGCGAGAACCCGTTCACAATGTACCATATATCAAATCACCACGATGAACGTTTCAAATATCTTACAATTTTATCTGTCAATTAAACCTCACTAAAGCTGAGAAAAAAAAAAAAGGATCACTGGTTGCCAGGGGTTGAGGAGGGAGGGAAGAACGATACAGATGGAGCGCAGAGGACTTTTAGGGCATCGGAAATATCGGTTTTGATACGATAATGGTGGATACACAAACCCATGGAACGGACAGCACCAAGCATGGACCCCAATGTAAACTGTAGACTTTGGGTGACAAAGACGTGTCAGTGTGGGCTCATCCACTGTGACAAATGTGCCACTCTGCTGGGGGGACGTCGATGTGGGGGAAGCCGTGGTGTGTGGGGGTGGAGGGGACACGGGATCTCCCTGTACCTTCTGCTCAGTTTTCTTGTGAAGCTCAAACTGCTCTACAAAATAAAGTTTATGTTTTTAAAAAATGCTACCTATACTAAAAAAGGAAAATGGTCTGGGCGCCTGGGTGGCTCAGTTGGTTAAGCGACTGCCTTCGGCTCAGGTCATGATCCTGGAGTCCCGGGATCGAGTCCCACATCTGGCTCCCTGCTCAGCAGGGAGTCTGCTTCTCCCTCTGACCCTCTTCCCTCTCATGCTATCTCTCTCTCTCATTCTCTCTCTCTCTCAAATAAATAAATAAAATCTTTAAAAAAAAAAGGAAAATGGTCTGAAGGAGGCTACTCTCCCTGAAAGCAGCTCTACTTCACCCCTGCTGTCCAACGGTGGGCTGGCAGCAGGGTGGGGGCATGCAATTCACTCCCTTTGGACTGAGTCAGGCCAACAAGAACACTTTTATAAGAATTGCTTTGAAACTCACAAATCTGCTTAATACCAACACACCAGGTGGCAAAGCCATTCCTGAAAGTGACACGAAAAAATTTCTTGACTGCACAGAACGAGGTGTTGCATTAGACAGAAGCCGCTGCAAATGGGCACACATTTCCTTTAGGAGTGATGAAAACGTTCTACAATTAGACCGTGGTGATGGCTGTGTACCACACAGTAATATGTCAATAATCACCGCATTATTTAAAAAACGTACCAGACAGAACCCACATACCCTTAAGGAGGTCAGAATTTTTCAGAGCAACCTAGCAAATGTGCTACGAGGTGAAGTTTCACCTCATCTCAAAAGCAAATATCCTTGAAAATCAGCCCAGGAGAGCCAAAGTCTGAAGATGACTCATATTTCTATCTGGTAGTCAGCAAAGAGGACAAGAAGCCACTCAGCTCCTCAGTTATCCCCTTGGAGGGTGAGGCAGAGGGGAGGCATCTCATTCATATGACTGCTTCCCAATGGAAAGTTGGTGGCGACCTGAATTGCCAATCGCCAAAACAAATGATGAAAGGAAGTCGTCTTTTTTTAAAAAATCACTACCTACTCTTTATTCTCTGTCTCTCCCCAGAGGGAAATAAAACATAGAAAAATATTAAAATGAGAAATAGAGAAGCTTGGAATTGATACGGAAGATCCAATCAAATAACAGTCGTCGATGGTTTTTCTTTATAAAGCACATGGCAGCATCATTATTTTATACATGGTCAGAGGCAGGCTTCAAGTTAAATGACAAGTCTCTGATTTGACCTGTAAAGGAGAGGAGTAAGCTGGTTAAAGAGCTTGGATTGTCTTTTCAAAAACCACCATGAGATCTAGATCAATGACATAGGAGTGGAGGGTGATGATTCTGATAGGTCTGGGAAGAGTTTTCTGGCTGAGGCCTGTTGTCCTGGCATAATTAAGAGTGCTCCTGTCACCCTCAACCCTTTCCTGATTTGAGCAATAAAATCCTGATCCACGTAGCATGGATCAGCGTTGCCTTCGTGCTGACGACTGGTTACTGACCCGAGAGAGGCTCTGTAGCCAAGGATAAAGCCCACTGGCGAGGGAGCCCACCCTTCGAGTCAGGGATGGGGACCCCAGTGATCAGAAAGGCCAGCATGCACACATTAGAATCAGCACGGGGACGACTGTTTTGCAGACTAGCACCTGGCCCTTCCCCCTGGAAATTCTGATATATATGCCTGATTCAGAAAGACAGATCTCCACCATCCACCTGCATTTTATGGGATGACCGAGAAATAAGAAATCACTCGGCCACGACTTGCTGAAGTTAACTTGGCTGGAGTTGCAAAGCCAGTGCGGTGATAGCCCAAGACTCCCAAGTTCTCCTGCCTGCTGGCAGCCCCAAGTCTGACTGTCAGGGTCAGACCCAAGTTGTGACCCCATGACAACCACTTCCCACGACAGTGTTCCTCAGTCCCCGGAATTTCCTACTTGTAATACCCTGTCATTGGCGTGTCAATCACCCCTCCGCTAGGCAGGGCCAGACCTGCATGTATATGTTTGCTTTCACGGATATTCCTTCATTTAGAACTGAGACTTCACTCCAAACCTGCTGTCCATTGTATGAGACTTAAAAAAAAAAAAAAAAAGAAATCCATTTTGAAATAAGACTACTCACATAACTAGGTCAAAAACAGTTTGATCCCTAAAGGTATTCTCTCCAGCATCTAGACATTGGGAGGTTTTGCGGCTCTGATTACCCAAGACCTTAAAGCTGCTTATTCAGGTAGGTAGAATAAAGTGTGAGAGACAGAGGGGCTGACAGCATTTTCTCCAGGCTGGTGTAAATGTCCTTCTGTGGCAGTACGGGGAGAAGCCCATGGGAAAACACGGATAAAGCTGGCTCAGTGCCATGGTCGTTTCTCGTACAAATGGATATGTTAACTTCTACCTCTATCTCGCCTCTGAAATGCCACGTGGCTATGGCAAAACAAGAGGTTAACGTCTCTGCTGGCTCAGGAAAATCTACTCCAGTGCAAAGCGTATTGCAAACTGTTGCCCTCCATGTCACAGCCTGCGACTTCTGTAAATCCCCTCAGGCTTTCCCTACGTGTGTCTGAAAGAAAGGGACCCATGTATGCCAAAGGACAATCACATTGCTGTCGTTTGATATGTTCGGGACAGGGGATGCTCAGGTTAATAGGAAGTTACTATGTAATCCTAAGAAGAGCTTCGTGATTTCACAATGTCTTAGGGGCACATTAGTGATGAATTAGACCATGTGCAGCAGGTTTGCTAAAATAGCATTCTGCTTATACAGCCTGAGCTAAGAGTTTCCCTTGGGCATTCAGTGATATTTTCCAGCAAAGATGACGAATTAACGATGTTCTAATGAGTCACCCACTTTGGAGAAAGGGGCGGCCCTCTTCCGCAGCTGCTAAGGAATGAGCTCCCACTGAACCCCTCGCTCTGCAGACAACACACCAAAGTCAGGAAAAGGGACACTTCAGGGCAGAGGCATGAGCTCCATTCGGCACAGGGCTCTCTGGAACGTAGCCTCATGGCAAGTTTCTCAACATGAGGAGGACGGGTCACCATTTTCAAATGCAAACTTCAGAAGCGCCCTATAAAAAGCTTATATATATGGAAAAAAAATTCTATGTGGTCAACTAGAAAGAAAAATGAAAGTCTGCTGTCCGAACACTGCTGTACAAATCACGTCACCATCCCCCAGATAACGAGATCGGCTCCCAGAAGACTGCGGCCGCCACTTTTCAAGATTTGAGGTGAAAAGGTATTTCATCTCAGTTTAGGAGTGGCCTGTTTGGTTCCTAATACTACAAAAAGAGACAAACAAAAACCCAACGCAGGATGAGTCTGCTGTGTAATACTAACTGTAGCTAAGTTAGCTCAGGCATGTACATTCTCTGGGGGAAGGCGGGAGCTTCCTTCTGCACAGCCGCTGATTACTAAGGACTGAGAATCAGAGACCTACAAAGAAAAATAATCTACAGATTTTCTGTAGGCTTTTCTCATTTAATGGGCCCTCACTGTTCTCACTATCCACAAAAAAAAAATGCTCTTTTTGGATGCATATACCTGCAAATATACTAAAAGTCAATTAATTACATACTTTAAATGAGTGAACTGTATTGTATGTGAATGATAGCTCAATAAAGCTGTTAAACACTCCTTTATCAGCAAAGCAAAAAAAAAAAAAAATCACAAACAAGAAAAAAAATTCCTAGTTTGCAACATAAGCCATGGTGTCTATGTCACCTAGGTATCTAGGTCTGCCCTGAGAGAGTCTTCGGGGTTTGCCAAAAGGTACTTTAACCTGGCTTTTTGTTGTCACAACTACTGAGGCAGGATGAGGAGTGAGGGACAGTGGTACCACGTCTGGAACTCACTTAGAACAGGGGCTGATCACAGTCGGTGTAGGTGGGTAAACCAAGGCAACATTCACTCGCTCGCTGCCGTTCTTAGGGCAAATGATTTCTGCCACTCCTTCTGGTCTGGGCTGACTCAGCAACTCCCCTGCAGGAAGAGAGAGAAAATGCATTCATGAGATGTACCTTAGGAATGGGACCATTTCACAAAGTAATACAGCCCTCGGGGATGGGGGAAGCAGGGAGGAGGGCAGGTAGTGAGGAAGTAAAGGGTCTCCAGACAATGGAGTCAGAGAACAAATATGCACCCAGAATCACAAGACTGGCCCCGCTCCCACTCCACTGCCTAAATTCTCATCTGCGTCACCATGGAGAACATTCTCGTGGTTATGGCGAAAAGGCCATCGTTCCAGACAAAGACTGCCTCCGCTAGCATTTTCCTCACCTTCCTTTTCACAGACTGACTCTGGAGATCTTTATCTAGATGTCGCGGCGAATTGAGCGAGGATCCCTAGAGCCCAGAGAAGCAAGGGCTGCCAAGGTGTCTGTAATTAGCATTCGGGGGCAGATGGGATTCGGGCAGACTGTAGCAGCCTTTCAACAAAGCCCTGCAGAAATGATCTCGAAATGCAGCCGACTAAAGGTGTTATCAGCTTCACCCTGGCAAGAGGATTTCCTAGGTAGGTATGTGTGAGGATTTGAAAGCACCAGCATAATACTATGTTATGAGTAATGGGGTCTAGTAAAAACAGACAATTAACTTAATGGATTACCACAATACCCAAGGGAAATCTGCATGCTCTGCACAGCCCGGATATAATCGCTCTCCAACTAGATCATTAAATCCCTAAGAGCAGTGATGACTTCCATTCTTTCGTCTCCCCTCCGCCTCGTCTACTTACGGGCAGTGGCCTGCCCTCTCTCTCTTCTCATGGCTAGCATGGTGCTCTCGCTCAGAGAAAATGCAATAACCAGCTGCTAGCTGAGGATGGTACCTGTTATTGCCTAAACCCCCCTACTTAAACCTAGAAGTTAAATAGACCAAACCAAGGACACGAAATGGTTACCAACTAGAAAGAGCTGCTACTGAAAATAAAACGTCAACTCTTTGGCAGCCATCACTTGTATAATGGATCTGAGATTCTAGTGATCCTGAAGTTAAGCCAACAAAAGATAATAAAAAAATCCTTTGCCTCAAAATACCCTATTTCTAAAGGCCCCACCTTCAGCAGAACTCACAGTGATAAAGCACGGCCACGTGCCGGCCCTTGAACCAAGAGCTTTAAATGTACATCTCATTTCATCTGTGCGATGTCTCTGTGAGGGTTACCCTCATTTTACAAATGAGGAGGCTAACGGTCAGGGACGTTATGTGGCGTACCCTGAGTCAAGGGCTAGCAAGTAGCAGACTCGGCATGTGACCTTGGGAAGTCATCTCTGGGGAGCTTACTCTTTGCCACCACCCTCCGAGACCTCCCAGAGTGGGAACTGCTTCTTTATGCCAGAACACATCTCCTAGAAGAGAAATTTTAAAACACTATTTTTAAATAATGAACTAAGCCATTGACATATTTGTACTTTTATGATAGGCATTCATTTCCTGCTTTGAGCATTTTTATATGGCTTTGGACAATATGAACTGAAGATAATTTGAAGTTCCTTAACCAAATTACTGTCAACACCCAATTACTGCAAAGTTAATTTAGCATGACTAGCTTATACCACAGATACATGGGTATCAGAGCTACACTGTGACACCAGCTAGGAAAATATTCCAAAATATAAAAATGCAAGTTAAAAATGTAAACACTGAATGCTATCAAAGCAATAAAACGAACCAAAGTAATAATAGCACGTTAGAGCTGGATGAATAGTTGGAAGTCATCCGGCCCAAACACCACGTTCTAAGTCAGAAACTCTCTGAGTTTAACGGATTTGCTCCAAGTCCCTCAGAGCTGTGCATCTTTGACCCAACCCAGCCACCACGTGACTAGGACTGCAAGAGGGTGCTCTGAACACCGCAGGCCTGGTAACACCCTGGTCCTGGACTGCTCTCCCCTGGTTCCTTACGGGATATTTTCCAATTTGCACTTTCTGTCCCAAGATTACCCCCAAGGCCTGAACACAGACTCAGCTTCTCCGGTTTCCCCTGAGAACGCTCTCTTGGTTGGAAGTTCACACGGGCCTCTCTCAGCTGCCCAAGTGCCCGGGATCCAGCCGCAGATGCCAAGCCCCGACTCGGGCACCCACTCCCAGCACAGGGGCTCTCTTGCTGGCTCTGCTGCAGGTTTCCAGAAGCAGCCAGGGCTGAAATAATCTGTAGTAGACTAGTAAGCATCTGTTATCAATTTTTATTAAACCAACAGCTTTAGTGCAACCACCCCCCCTCCCCCAATTCCTAGTATCCTACAGAACCAGGTAACCGGCTTCGTTTGGGTCCTCCTTCCAGCAACGTGGCCAGCTGCAGAGGCAGCCTGAAAGCTGGAGGTACCAAGAGGGCTCACGCATCCGAAAAATTCACTTGATGCTCCAAAAAACGGAGCACCGGGCCGCACGGTTCACAATCTGCAGCACGTCCATGCACTCCCACAGGCTACCGCGTGCTGTCGGGATTCCTCGGATGAAAGATTTAGCTAAGGTTTCTGAGAGAATAAGGAAAGTGGCTTCTTCTTCTCAAAAAAGGTACCACAAATACAAAAAGTGGTTCGTAACTAGTGTTGTCTACTAAAACAGAAGCTCATTGTCTCAAATTTCTTTAACACAAACTTGATTTTCAAACTAAAGGGCTCCATGCGTTCGGCTCAGGTCATGATCTCCGGGGCTGGGATGGAGCCCCACATCGGACTCCTGGCTCAGCTGGGAGTGTGCTTCTCCCTCTCCCTCAGCTGTTCCTCCCTGCTCATGCTTTCTCTGTCTCAGATGAATAAACAAAATCTTAAAAAAAAAAAAAAAAAGCTAAACTAAAATACAGCCATTCGCCGAGTATCTAAATAGGGAGCTCTTACTGCATGTGTGAGGGGATGCAGGCGATACAGGAGTCTAAGGCAAGGCCTCTGATATGAAGGGTCCCAACATCGGAGAAAGTCAAATGTGCATAAAAAGAACTACAGTCCTGTGTGATAGGGGCCCCCAAGCAAAGTTACGAAATGTTGGAGGAGCAATGAGAAGGACAGACTACTGTTGATTTGCAGGACTGGAAAAGACCTCAAAGAGTGGAGGACACGATCTCAGAAGACACAGTAATATTCGTTACCATGCGCTCTACCTTATCATCATCCTGTTATATACATCAAAGTGAAGGACACACATTAACCCCAGAAGAAAAAACGATGATCACAGTAGCAGCTAACATTTATCGAGCATTTATTATGTGCTTATGCTATAAATGTATTATGTCACTTAGTTCTCATGACAACCCTATGAAGTAGGTATAGCTTTCATCCTCAGGAGAGTTAGGCTCAGGGTTAAGTACTCACCAACATTCATAAGGAAGGAGTGGCAGGGCCAAAATTTGGACCCAGGACTATGTGACTCCACTGTTTTTTTTTTTTTTAATTAACGTATAATGTATTATTTGTTTCAGGAGCGGAGGTCTGTGATTCATCAGTCTTACATAATACGCAGCGCTCACCACAGCACATACCCTCCCCAATGTCTATCACCTAGCCGCCCCATCCCACTCCAGCAACCCTCAGTTTGTTTCCTGAGATTAAGAGTCTCTTATGGTTTGTCTCCCTCTCTGGTTTCGTCTTGTTTCATTTTTCCCTCCCTTCCCCTATGATCCTCTATCTTGTTTCTCAAATTCCTCACATCAGTGAGGTCATATGATACACGTCTTTCTCTGATTGACTTATTTCACTTAGTATGCTAAGCGAAATACCCTCTAGTTCCATCCACATCTTGCAAATGGCAAGATTTCATCTTTTTGATGGCTGCATAATAGTCTATTTATCTGACTCCACTCTTAACTGACAGGACACACTACTGTACTGTCCTGGGCAGGGATATCATAACGATTAAATTAGATAGCATAAGAAGTACTAAATGTTGTATCTGGCATCTGGTAAATTCCTGACACTATTACTATAATGATGAAATTTTTTTTGAAAAGCTTACTTTTCCAACTATATAAAAAATTTATTTACAAATATATGATTAGTAACCAGGTTTTCTATAGCAAAGCAATACGCAAGGATTAGACCATACAGTATCTGCCTGCAAAACACCATGTCACCAGAGATTTGAAAACTTCAAATGAAAAAAAAATTAGATTTATTACACATCTGTTGTCACTAGCAAAAGCAAATAAGAAATAAATCCCAAAGTTGGTGGGAGTTGTAAAAAAAAGCTACATTTACAGAAAATATGTTAGCAGTAAAGTGAGGGCAGATATACATGTGACCTGGTATATTTCCATTTTCAGGCACTTCAAGGCCTTTCTCTCTGACAAAAATTATACAACGATTGCTCATAGCCACACTATTTACAAAACAATGAAAACTCTGGTAACCCTCTCAAATGTCCGACAATGGGGAGACGATGAAAAACTATGACACACTAATAAGGCGGGATCCTCTGGAGTCATTAAAAATTATGAGACTGACATTTCTGGGTGGCAGAGTCAACTTAAAAGTACATTCTAATTAGAAAGAGCAACTGACAAAGAACACAAATGAGTTTAGAGTGAAATGGGCCATTCAAGATGAAATGGTCCTGAGGTTATTTATTTATTATTATGTTTGAGTCAATAGTAAGACAAGACGAAAGCATGTTTCACAACTGAAGGGAAAGGCCAGCCGTAAATGCTAATGCTTTCTCTTCTGTCAGAGATTTTCTATTCGTGTGCAATAAGTGCCATCCGTCTTCCTGAAGAAGCAGAAATTTAGCCTCATGCACAGAACACTGCAATCACTAAGGCTGTATTAGGCTTTATCATGAAAAATTATTGAAAATTATGAAAATTATTGAAAATTATGAAAAACTGTTCTTAATTACTCTGGCTCGAGATTTCTGGCATTAAAAAGCTACCACATCAACTGTTTTCCCCCCCTCCGTGGAAGAACAGAACACTAAGTTTTATTATGATTTAAAAAAAAAATCAACAGAAGATAAGTGGAAGGAACTCTTTTTCACCTTTTTCTACTAAGT